GATTCCTGATTGGCTTAAGCTTGCGCTGGCTGCCTATTTGCTTCTGGAAACAAATCAAAGCAGCGGTTGCCCTGAAATGGCCCGGGGACAACTAGGGGTCCCAAACATCTGTGCCCATCGGTTGAGATCCCTTGCAGGAGCTCTGTTCAGTGTGCCCCTTACCTTCAGCAGGGAGGCGTGTGGCTACCGGAGGGACTATGGACCCCTCCCCACAGTTGCTTGCTTGGCACCTGCTCTGGTCAATGCCAGGCACTGGGTGTCTGTTCAAGTTAGACTTCTGATTGAGTGTGGCGGCCTGTTTCCCTTCTGTTAATGTTTGGTTTCTTTGATTTCATTTTTACTCCACCTTTTTCCACACGAGGGACCCAAAGCAATTTATCTCCTCCTCCTCCTCTTTACCCTAACCCTATGAGGTAGGTTAGGCGGAGGGTGTGTGACCAGACCAAGGTCACCCAGCGAGCATTCACGGTAGAGTGGAGATTCGAACCTGGGTCTTCCAAATCCTAGTCTGGCACCCTAACCACACCATCATGCTGGCTTAATTGTTTTTAGCTGTTTAGTGCAATGTGTCATTGTTCATTATTGATTTCCTCAGAAGCCTTGAGATCAAAGTTGTGGAGGATATGTATTCAATATATCTATGAAGGGGAGGGGGGTATTGTGGAGAAAAACTGTGTCTAGCAATTGATGTGGCTGGGTGTTGCAGGCTATAGTAAGCTGTGGGCTTTGGCCACGCATGGCTTGATTGCCCAGTGACTTGAATGAGCCAGAGCAATGCTCCCTCTAAGCTGTGGAGTCTTGTGAGCAAAATTGCTACTTTGTGAGCTACTGGTATTAAAGTTCTGAGTGAGTGATTTGGCTACTGCATAAATTAGTTTGCTCTGGAGCCATCATTCCTGAGCTAAGACAAAAATCTGTGAGCTGGAGGCTAAAAAAACTGAGCTAGCTCACACTAACTCAGCTTAGAGGGAACGCTGAGCCAGAGGCAGTTGCAAAGCATTTCCAATCAAACCCCTTTCTTTTTCTTGTGAAATCTGAATTCTGCAGGGATACATATAGTGACAGAAGTGGAAGCAGTTCACCAGACTCTGAGATCACGGAATTGAAGTTCACTGCAGTTAATCATGAGTAGTCACCGGTAATATTTCCTTTTTAATGTTCTGGGTTTTCATGCTCCCCTCCCCTCCCCAGCTGTGTGTTAGAGGCCAACCCCTCTCTATTACTTCCCCTAGAAAATAAGTTCCTGGTCATCCCTGCACCCCTTTCTGTTCTGGAGGAGGGGCCCTCTTGTCCCAAGCCACGTTGCACTGGTGCAGATGAAGAAGAATTCGACATGAACAGCACAGCTGGTGTTCTGCCCTTGGACACTGGCACCACACAAGGCTAAGGGGATCCTTTCCGAGAACCCTGTTTTCTTTTTACACACACAGACACACACTTACCATTTAAAGGGATACAAAATGAAAAGGCAACCCTGTTTTCTTGATAATGGTGAAATTATTTATTTGTGCTGCCTTGGGTGCTTTTACGGTGGTAGATGAACACGATAAATAACCATTCCTTTCGTTTCTCGCTTCCATCAGGGTACACTGGGCTACCAGAAGACTCTTCTGTTGTGGACACTCTAGGCATTTTCTCTGCAGTAGCTGGGATGCTCTCGTCGGTTGGAGTTCCTTAAATCATGTCGTCACAGTTTAGTTTCAAGGAATCATGTCGCACTGTTCTTTTAATCTATTTTCATTTTTTTTCATGTTTTGGTTAAGCCGCTGAAGCTGATGCTGTGGTGCTTAGCACCTGTGTGGTCTGTGAATTTTGAAACGAGAACTTCCCAAGACTGGGGTTAGTTCTTGGATTTCTGAAGAGGCTTGAGCTTTGCCAAGAAGAGAGATTGGCATTTTTTTGGAGGCTCAAAGGGTGACATTCCCTTCCTTAGAGGACTGCGGAATGAGAAGCTACCCTTAATCCCGGCATGTATTTTAAAACCAAGTGATGGATTTAGGGCTTCATCGCCACCCTTTTTTGTTCCAGGAGTCCCACTTTCTGCTTAGGAAATTTTGGGATTGTTGCTCCTGAATACATCATGTCAAGCTGCAATTATTGCATTAAAATTTGTAAGAACACACACACACACACCATTTTAGAAATTTGAGATCCCCCCCCCTCCTCTTTTAAAGTCCTTCCTGGACTTGAGAGATCTCCTTGCATCAAGGGGGCTGTATATGTGAGAAAGTGACTTCAACAGAAGATGCCTTTGAGACTCTCATTGAGAGAGCTGCCTTGGACAGGACGGTCTGAGGTCCTTATTTTTGTAAGGGAGGGCCTTCCTGTTTCCCCCCTGTTGTGCCAGGGGCCTTTTGAGATGCCACAAATGTTGCCGGTTTTTACAGTGGGTGTTTTTAGTCAGGTATCTGCAGTATTTGCTCTGCCCCCCCCCCCCACAGAAAACGGGTGTGGGCGCATCAAGAAACAAGTGTTCGTAATCTCTCCTTTTGCCAATATAGCTTGTAAGCTGTGTTAACCACTAAGTTATTGGGGACTTATTTTGCTATACAAAATGTACCATATGTCCATACCCTTTTCAGTTCATTAAAATTTGGGGAACACTGTTTGCGTCTATATCCTGTCATCTGTCAGCCTTTCAGTTACTTTTGATGGCTTATTGTGTTTTCCTGTTAACAGTGTGGCATCTAGGGATCCCCAGTAAGGGTGCGCATGATGCCCACCGACACCTTTCCGGGTGTCCGTCAAGTATCGGTAGATAGTGGGTGGGGCTTTTCCCAGTCAGGCTTCTGATTGACATTTGGAGACTTGATTGGCTGTACAGATTTTTTTAAAATGTTGCTTTGGCAGTACAAGGATATCCACTGTCTCACTGAAGGTAAACTACGGCAGCCGTTTTGTAGTTGCAACCCACCCCATGTGTCAGAATTCCAAAAGTGTCTGTAGGCTCAAAAAGGTTGGGAACTCCTGGTGTAGCGTCTCTTGTCAATGTTTGTCCCTCTCTGCTAACTAAGAATTTGTCAGGGCTGGGTGGGAATTGTGGGGGAGGGGGACAATTTGAAAACCCTGCACTCCCCCATAAAATCCCTGGCAGCTGCAGTCAGAAGCCTTGTTGGGCCGAAGCCCCACCTGGCCCCACCCACACCTGGCAGGCACCAGAACAAGTGTTGGGGGTGCCACACTGGGGATGCTTGCTAAAGGTTCCCTTGCTCGAAAGCCAGTCGAATCCGACCCTAGGGTTGCGGTGCTCATCTCCGTTTCAAAGCCGAAGAGCCAGCGCTGTTAACACCAAGGCGCACGGAACGCTGTTACCTTCCCACCGAAGTGGTCCCTATTTATCTACTTGCAATTTCTTGCTTTCGAACTGCTAGGTTGGCAGGAGCTGGAACTAGAGACAGGAGCTCACCCTGTCTTGCGGCACCCAGGTCTTGAACCGCTGAACTACTGACCTTCCACAGCCTGCAGCTCAGCGTCTTAACCACTTGAGCCACCGCAGCTCCTTATGCTTGCTAAAGGATATGGTATAATCAGTCCTCATCAGGCTGTCCCTTGAAGGGTGGGGATCTGTCAGAGTCTCATTTTTCTGCATACCTGAGGGAAGAAGGTAGAGACCACTACCTTATGTGCAGAAGGCCAGAGCTTACAGCTTTTGCCAACTACACAGGGGCCTGCCCGTTTACTATCAGATATAGTGACTGTGTATATTATAGAGGGTGGCTGTCGTGTGGACAGAAAGATAACGGTAGGGGGGAAATGCTGGAGGGCTTTTTACTATGGGGAGTAAAATCCCAGTGTCACCAGGCCAGGCAAAGTGCATGTGAGCGTACACTGGAATCAGCCTGCACACACTGAGCTGCAACACTCGGAGCCACCAAACCTGCCAATGCTATTGACGGTAGCAGTTCACAACCCTCTTAGCAAAACCAGGAGTTTTACTGATACCCCCTCATTAGGCTGCCGAACAACTTCATTTGGAGTGAAAATGTGCGAGATCGTGAAAGGGAGGGCAGGAAGGCTTGCATCAGTGCTTAGTTCTTGTGGTTCTTTCATACATGCCCAGGGAAATGCTGATCACTACTTTGCGGTCAGGAAGCAATTTTTCTCCAGGCCAGTTTGGCCATGGACCCTGGTGGGGTTTTTTTGCCGTCTTCTGAGCATGCATCAGGGGTCACTGGGTATTTTTTTTTGGGGGGGGGGATTTGTGAATTTCCTGCATGGTGCAGGGGGTTGAACTAGATGACCCTGGAGGTCCCTTCCAACTCTATGATTCTATGTGCAAGCCTGCCTAAACTAGTCCCAGTTTCCATAGGAGAGAAATTCAGCCTGGTCAGGGCTCTGGTAGTAAGAGAAGGGGAGTAAAAATAGGGCAGTGGGAAAAGAAATTTTATTTCACTGAAGGATCCCCCTAAATAATGTTTCTTTTCACACTGCACTGTTTCAGTCCTTCTCTTCCATGAGTCTGCTCTGATGCAGCCCTTTTTTCTGCTGTGCTCTGGTAGAACAGACCTCACGCAGCATTCATAAATTTGATCAACCACTGCGATTTATAGTCAGATAGTCTTAACAAATTGTTGTGCTTGTGTATGTGTGACCAACTTGGGATTTCAAACAAGGCTTTGTTGCATGTTTAACTACTGTGCAATAAGGGATGTGTGATAATCGTGGTTTGCTGCAACCCCTGAATTTGCGAACTGTGGTTTTTAGCAAGCATCGCTCTTCAAACCTACTTAGCTGCAGAACCAGCGGGATAGGGAAGACACCCTTTGCATTAAGTAACAGACAAACTGAGATTTGTTTGGCTGGTAGACTAACCAAAGTTCTTGCACAAGCCGTGGTGCCTGAGTGCAGCTCAGGTGATGGAACCCAAATGCAACCCCCTTGATTGCTAGAAAACTCTTGCTGCAAAACAGCATCCCGCTGCCACGAAAAGACACGAGACTGTGGACTTGAGCTTTCTCTTGGCCTCTGTTTACTTCCAGCGTGTTAACTTTTTAGGCAGGTTTTGTCGTTGTGCTCTGGCGGTTACATGAGGGCACAGCACCGTGGGCTGGTATTCTGTTGCACATGATGCTGCTGCAGCTCCTCCTTCTCTTTCAACAAAGTCTCTATTTTCTTCTCCAGCTTCTTGTTCTCCTCTGTCCATTTCTGGGGATTTACAAAAGGATAGTCATCCCCTTCCTATCTTGATAGCAGCCAGACTACTTTGCGGGTAATGAGTCTGGCTGGAAGGCTTGATGGATCTGGGACACTGCTGGCAAAGCATAGTTGGCTAATGGATCGGGGAGAGTTGTATTATTGACTAGTATATGGTGTGTGGCACTCAATAGATGATGAGCAACAAAGACAACATGTACCAGTTTCTTACCTGCCTCTCTCAGGTCCTAGTCCACTACAGAGGGGCAGGCTAGCTAAAGAACAAACTCCATTGACCAAACAGCACATCAATGGCTAGTTAACTTGTTAGATTTCTTTTTTTCTGAACTCCTTGCCTATAAGTATTTATACTATGGGAGTCTCAGAGGATATTTATCCAAAGAGCCAAGTTTTTCACATGAACATATCTTGCTGTCTTATATATATTGGTCAATCTATTTTGTATTTTGACCAACAGCAATGCCAGTCGCAGGCTGTCTTTCACATCATCTGGTCCTTTTAAGTGAATGTGCTGGGAATCAGCCCCAAGACCTTGCAAAGCAGACGTTCTGCCACTGAGCCATTGGCCCCTCCCCAACAGCAGCCAATAGGAACAAGTGAATAGGAGTTTGTGATAGAGCCAGTATTTTTTTTGGTCTCTGAATACAGAGCAAACAAAAAAATTATGGAGGTGCCAATTTGTGGCTAAACTCCCCCCTCTGCAGCAATTTTAACGTGGAAGAAGAGGTCCCCCTTGTAACTTTCTGGAATTGATCAAAAACCTTGATCTGAAAACAAAAATAGAAGGCACTAAAACACTTTTTTTTTTGCCGTCAAGTTGCAGCTAAATTACTACGATCTTGTGGAGTTTTCAAGACAGACACAGTGGTGGTTTTCCATTACCTGCCTCTGTATATCGCCCCTGCATTTCCTTGGTGGTCTCCCATCCAAGTACTAACCAGGGCTGGCTTTGCTTAGCTTCAGAGACCTGATGAGATCGGGCTAGCCTGGGCTATCCAGGACAGAGCCAATAAGACTTACAGATGTAAAAGTTCATTATATCAACCCAATGTACACTATTTAGAACCACTGCTTTTACACAAAAACCTACTGATGTAAAAGTAATGTTTTTAAATAGGATATGTTAAGTTGATGCAATGAAGAGCTATCTTTCATGGGGAACAATTTACCGGTTGTATGTATAAAGTGCTGTCAAGTCACAGATGACATGCGGTGACACCATATATGGGTTTTTAAGGTAAGGTGGTTTGGCACTACCTGCCTCTGTGTAGCACCCCTGGATTTCCTTGGTGGTCTCCCATTCAAGTACTGACCAGGGCTGACCTTGCTTAGCTTCCAAGATCAAGATAGTCTGGGCCCTATTTACAGCTTACGTCCCTGAAAATGAGAGCGTGTGCATGTTGATTTCTGAAACTGCACGGGTTCGCTATTAAGCAAGCAGGCAGTTTCTGCAAAACAATTACCTGCCGACACCACTCTTGAATGGCGCTCCCAGAGAGAGGGCCTTGAATGCTGCCATCTCGCCGTATGTACACTTCCCCTTGGTCTGTTTCGTAAAGAAGAGGTTCCCCGTGCTGTTTGGGAGGATGAACCGTTAACCGGATAACTTTCAGGAAGATGCCGGTGTCTTCATCTTTAATGACAGGGACGAAACTCAGTGTGTACGCTGCTGGGAAAACTTGGGGCTTGAAACCCTTCAGAACGGAGTCGATGAGGAGGCGGACCCTGTCTTCATCTCTGTGGTCACAGCGAACTCCCAGCACCAAGCCATTGTCTTCTACCCCCACGAGAAGGCTTCCCCCTTCACTGTTGAGAAATGCGCACACGTACTTCCGCACATGATGTTTCAGAGTGCCTGTCAAATATTCCCCGCCACCACGTTTAAATTCCACGCTTCGCGTCTCATTACCCATGAAAGCACCGTAGAACAGGCGCTCCTTGCCTACAATCTCTCTCTGGACAATGGCACTGTCTGAACGAGTGCCGCTTAGAAAGGCTGCCGGCCGCTCCGTCAGTCTCCAAGCATGCTGAGCAGACTTTGTGCCAGAGTTAGTCTGGGTTTCGGTGAATGGTGGTTTCTTCCTCCTCTTGGGCACCTGCAACCCTCTTAGATGAGATTCTGAGCTGCTTCCTATGGAGTTGGTCTGCAGATGTGACAGAGTAAAAAAATGCAAATGGGTACCAAGTAACCTTACAATTGCAGAGACTTGTTGCTTAGCATTGGGCCTTCTTTGGTGTGCCACCTATGACAAGTGTCATGGACATAAGGAGCACCTTATTGTAATGGTCTGTGATGCTGAACCTAAGTGGGTCTCCCCCTAGAACAGGGTAAGGAGATCACTGCAATTGCTGATTCTGACTTCTGTGCACTGAATGACTGGAATGAACCCCGGCACTGCATGTGGGTTAGTTTGCAGAGCCTTGAAGTAGGAGAACCTATATCGAACTGCTGAGGTAGATGAACAAGGGCTTATCCAGCAGGTAGACTCCCGGGATTGTTGAAAGCAATCAGCCTATATGCACGTGTCATCAAGTCACACCTAACATGTGACCCCAGCAAGGTTCTTTCAAGGCAAGCAAGCAGCAGACATGGTTTGCCATCGCCTTCCTCGGCAGAGCCCTCTTTGGTGGTCTCCCATCCAAGTATCGACCCTGCTGTCTCACCTCCTAATCAGCCCTGACCTGGGTAGCCCAGGCTAACCTGATCTAGACCTCGGAAGCTAAACAGGGTTAGCCCTAGTTAGATGTTGGATGGGCGACCTCCAAGGAATACCCGAGTGTGACCAGAGCCAGGCAATAGCAAACCACCTTGGGAACGTCTCTTGCCTTAAAAACAAATCTAGCTCGCCACCTAGTGCTGCATAATGCTAAACAATCTTAGCATCTCCTGGCTATACTACACAAGCTGCCATGCAATAATAATAATAATAACAACCTCCTAATCAGCCTATAACTCCCACTAATTGTGTGGAGGGGAACAAAACCATTTGCTACCCCCTCCCCTTCCCCCCCCCTCACTGTGAGAAGCAAATTTCCAAACAGGGAGGGCCAGAAGGGCAACCCCCCCCCCCTTATTGACAGCCGGATCCTTCTTGAGGGGTGACGGATTTTATCTTCGTCTCTCCAGCACCTTGTATGGATATTGGTGCTGTTGGGGATTGCACTTGTGTGCTTCTCACCATCTGCTTGTTAACTTTGGCTAGCAAGTAGGCCAAAACAACACTTTCTGCTGTAGAAAAGGGCTCCTTTTCACACATGGCACGAAGTGACACAGCCTGAAACCTGTTCGCTGCTGTGCTGTGGGTTCTGTTGTGACAGTTTTAAAGACTCAACTTCCAACACGACATTTGTTGATCAGGTGCACACGTTTTCACAACAAATATAGCTATGTGGGAACGAGCTAGGTCTGCCCCTGGAAGGGTCTGAACTGCAGGAAATAATTCTTATGAAGTTGGGTGCAAGAAACAGAATGGAGTGGTGGCGGGAGACTGTTCTTTCTCATTGGAAGTTTGAAAGAGAATGTTGCACAGATGTTTGCTGAGAATGCCCAAGCAAAGGATACCCAGCGTGTGGGAAGAGAACTGCATTGGATTGCTTGGTTTCATTCCTCCTCAGCATCACACAGGGAAAAGCATTTGCACAATGCCTTCTTACTAAAAGGGACTGCTAATAGCACAGCAATGCATTCCCAGGGACTTAGCGCCTACCTCAAGTCCGATCCATGGAATGTCATTTCCCCATATTCCCTTCTGCTGCAGCTGCAATCACCCCTCCCCCCATGCTGCTGTTGAGGGGTGGGAGGCCCCAACAGGAATTGCTTCAGGTGGGTCATAGGTGTAGTGTGGGAGAGGAGGTGGAAATCAGCAAAAACTGCCACATACAGAGCTTTCAGGTAGGATCCAAGCCAGTGGTTGTTTTCCCCCAGTGTCTTTAAAATCCTGCAATGTCATAATTTCCCTAGCCTTATCCAGAGCTCAGTGGGATCTGGTGGTTTCAGCCCCTGCTACAAGATAATTGTTGTTGTTGGAAATTGCTGTCAAGTTGCAGCTGACTTATGGCGACCCCTGGGGTTTTTCAAGGCTCAAGAGACTAGCAGAGGTGGTGTGCCATTGCTTGCCTCTGCATAGTGACCCTGGACTTCTTGGTGGTCTCCCATTCAAATACTAACCAGGGCTGACTCTGCTTAGCTTCTGAGATCTAATGAGATTGGGCTAGTCTGGGCCGAGTCACAAGACTGTTACCATGACACAAGTCTGTCATTTCAGGAACAGAACATTCTCTTTCATGACTCCTGAGACTCTGTGTGTGTGTGTGTACAGGTTGGGATCATCCATGGGCAAGAGACTTGGATTGCCAGTCCATATCGGGTCCAGGGAAATTAGCCTTTTGGGTCCTGACCTTACCTCTCTGCTATCGTTGCTCCCAAATGCAAATGTATTGCCGGGTCCCACAACCAGATTCTTGCCTTTCTTCACAAGCTCCTTGACTAGGTCTTGCTCCAATTCGGCCGCAACTAGCAACTGTTTTAGGACGAGTTCCAAGCTCACTTCAGTTGCCACCTGCACAAAGGCATAGGCCTGCCTCCGCTTCCGGATCACTTCGATGTTGTGCCGCTGGAGGGTGACACTGGCCATGCCTAAAATGTCCTTCAGCATGCTGCAGATAACTTCCCGTGAGTATTTGGGATTCAAGTTCCCAATGTAGAGGACATGGGGACGTGTCGGCCCAGGAGGCTGGTCTTCTTCCTTTTCTGTTGCTTCTGACATGCAGGAACATGTCGGCTCAGGAGGTTGTTCTTCTTCCTTTACTGCTGTTGCTTCTGACACGCAGGAACATGTTGGCCTAGGAGGCTGGTCTTCTTCCCTTTCTGCCGTTGCTTCTGATACATGGGAACATGTCAGCCCAGGAGGTTGGTGTTCTTCCTTTTCTGCCGTTGCTTCTGATACATGGGAACATGTCGGCCCAGGAGGCTGGACTTCTTCCCTTTCTGCCGTTGCTTCTGACACGTAGAAATGTGTTGGCCCAGGAGTCTGGTCGTCTTCCTTTTCTGCTGTTGCTTCTGACAAAGCAGCCAGCTCTGGCACATGTTCTAACTGGCAAACTGGTAGAACATATTCTGTTATCCCCTCAGGATCAGATATGGCTTCCATTCTCAGACCTCAAAGCGAGACTCCAGAAGCAGGCATGGGGCTTGCTCTTATTCTTCATTGGTATGTTGTTGGCTGGTGAACTGGACACGTCGTCTTGTTAAGTCTACATTGATTGTCTTGCTTTGTCCTTACTGCATGATCAGGGATTACTGGCCACTCATGTCCAGTTTGTTATTGTGGATGAAGAAGAAACTGGGAGCTTCCCCTACAGGATCTGTGGCTGATAAGGCCTTGGAAAAGTATCAGAGCCTGTGAGGAAAACAACCCATGAGAAACTCGAATTTAACAGTCATGATGTTAAATTCAAGGATGCTGATTTGATAGCAAGGGGTTGCTGCCTGTTTGCAAATGACTGCTACCTGGCCAACTCTTCCATGAAGTACGTTAATGAAAACGTAAAGACACCAGACTAAGGCCTGTTTGAAACATGGTGCTCACCAAGGCAAAATATCTTTACACATAGGCAGGCACTTGTGTCCCCTTTGAACAGCCTTGCTACCCATGCAAAACCAGTGTGTGTGCGCGCACCATGACTCACTGTATGAGTGCATGGTCCCCACTGAGGCTTTTGGCCTCAGGCCTTTGCTTTGGGTTAAATGTGATGCTGGCTACATGCCTGGGGCAGCTCACAAGGAAGGTGATGTTTGTCTGCCATATCTGGTGCTAAGCTGCTTTTGAACCAAGGGAGACCTAAGCTGTTCCAGAACCACAGGGTTTTCGTTCAGCTGTCCTAACTACGAGGCAGTTTCACACAGGAAAAGCCTATCAATGGCTAATCCTTGGGTCTTCCCCTATCTAGTGGTAGCGAATACAAGAATGAGGCATTTCATAAAGGGATGGCATGGCATGGTGGCTAGAGGGCTGAACTAGGACCTGGGTTCAAACCCCCACTTTACCATGGAAGCCTGACGGGCGATCCTGGTCCTGCCACCATCTCTCACTCTAACCTTCCCTTCGGGGTGTGTGTGTGTGTTGTGGTTGTTGTGAGGATTAAGTGAAAGAGGGGAGAGCATGAGAAACTGCTTTGGGTCCCAAGCAGGGAGAAACATGGGCTATAAATGACAAAGTGTTTTCTTGCACCATAACATCTTTGGGTATGCTGTCCAATGCAGCTCCACCCCCACCCAGCTCTCTTGCAGGTGGCTAGAGCCCCCTTGACCCCCAGGTATGCATGTTCCCATCAGCTGATCAGGTGCCTCTTCTGGGGAGCTCTTGGGTTTCACCATCTGGGACAGGCTGATGGGGTCCACAAGCCTAGCTCCCACTTCGTTCCTGCTCACTAAGGAACAAGTAATACAGGGCGGCTCTGGCTAAGGAGCATCTCCACAGTGGCCCCAGCATCAAAGCCCCAGTGTGACCCGTTAAAGGGCTGAGGGAGTGGGGATCCTGCCTGAAGTACTGGAAAGCCGCCGCTGGTCACTGTGGTGCAGCGCCACAGAAAGCAAGTTTGTATGTGCTGCACAGAAACATCTACCACCCTCTGGGAGAATAGGATGTTTATTCCTACCCTCTGTTTCTTTAAACTAAAAACCCTGAGCCTAAGAGGTACTTGTCTTGTTGCTTTAAAGGGACAGGAAGCAGGCAAGAGGAAAAGCAGAGCTGTGATCACAACCAGCCACGGGGCTGGTGGAGGGTGACGTTTGTGCAAGCTGAAGCCAGCAAGACAAAGAGAAGCTCCAGGTCCATCCATTTGCCAAGCTGCAGAGCAAGGGGAAAACTGGATATGGGTGTGTGTGGAGGGGTGGTGGTGGTGGTGGTGGCAGCGGCAGACGACTTGTCTCCAGATTACTCAACCTGCAACACAGCCTCCTCCAAAGCCAAATTCTGTTTCTGGCTCCTCAAACCGCCCCCTCCCACTTCCCCAGAAAACCAAAGTTTTACCATGGAAGGAGCTGCTGGTCATGCCAAACTGAGCAGCTCCAGGTCAGATGCTGAGAAACCCTGCCGCCTCCAGCGAGGGGCCTTCTTGCCTTTTTGGTAAGAGCTTTAAATTATGACATCATAGCCGCCATGGCTACAATTCTAATCTGAAAGCAGAGGATGCTGGGCTGGGGAATGGAGGCTCACTCGTCCCAGGGAAGGCCGAGACGGGCCTCCCCCCCCAAAAAAAAAATACAATCTAAATTGTGAAGACCATGGCATAGAAAGGGAAGTGGAGGCTGTTGGAATACCTGCAAGCCGCTGCTTGAATTCCTGCATGGAGGGATGTCTCCTGAGGGTGAGAAGAGATTTCATAAACTAAACCCCTGCCAAGGGCGGCCCCTGGGTCTCTTATTTACAGGGGCTCTCCTCCGTTCACAGTTGATGTGGAATTAGGCATGGCCTCCGTGGCTCAGGGGCAGAGCAGAAGCTGCGCAGTTCGGTATGCCCATTTACGAGGCTTTCAGAGAGCGGGGACCGGGGAAGGGCCTTTCTGCTCACAAAACCCTCCGAGTGGACGGCACTGAGCTCAGCTGCCCAGAGGGAGGGGCTGACGTCCGTATAAGGAAGCATCATACCCAGAGGGGGCAAGCTGGCTCCACTTTAGTCTGTCTGTTCATGTTGTTCTAGAGTGAGGACATTTTCCCCTCTTCACAGAGTACAAAGCACTCCGCCACAGCTTATAGCAATTGTACCACACATGCACATCCATGTGCGTGCATGACGTTTTGCCACAAAAGTCTTCTTTGCGCAAACCCTTTCCCCTTCCACTGAAACACTGACAAGGAGAGAAGAGGCCCTTCAGCGGACGAGGTCACAAGAGTTGCCAAGGGTCCAGGACGTCCCCTCTTGCTTTTCCCCCAGTAGGCCACAGCCCTTCGCATTTAAGCCCCCCGCAGAGCCTGTGTGTGTGTGTGTGGGGGGGGGGGAGCCCTGAATTCTCCCCTCCACTGGGCACTCTGCATCGACTTCAGCACCAGTCACCAGAGAGCCACATGGCAGCATCGCCCACCCTACTTTCCCCCTTTATTTATAAACAAATCAACAGAATAAGTGCAGGGAAAAAAAGACGTATTGGCGGGGGGGCCTCCCCTGCTACCTGCAGGAGGGGCAGTGCGCACCTTAAAAGGGTGTTCCTGCAGCCAGGCAGTCCCACTAAAGAGCAGGTGACCAATGCAGCCCTGCCCTTGCGCAGTTTGTGAGTTCTTCCCTGCAGACTGGCTTATTGCCAATGAATTTTCATTGCTTCATAGTGGAGGCTTTCCTCCTCTCAAACCCTCCCCCCCCTTGCCACTGTCTTCAGTCTTCACTGCTGGGACAGTTCCAAGAGTGCCGGGAGGGAGAAGGGGACGCTGGAAGGCTCCTAAGGAGCGGCACCGTCCTCACCCTCTGAGCGCACTTCCCACACCTGGCAGCTGCAGGATCTCCGCGGCGGTCTTCCAAAGGGACGAGGTGACGGGCGACTCAGGACTGTGTCTGGAAACGAAGCCCCTTCTGCTCTCCCACAGGCCAGGGAGAGGCTGCTGAGGAACCGGAGCAAAGATTCATCTTACCCCCCCCTTTCTTTTCCGTTCTCGTTCGCTGGGGGCAAGGACAGCCCCACCACTCAAGTGCCATAAAAATAAATACATTAACCCTCCCCCCCCCCCACCAGGTAGCATTTTGAAGTTTCTTTTCCCCGCTTGAGTTTTGGGAAGGGCAAGCCCCCCGCCCCCTCCCCTCCACTGCCGGTTTCACCATCCATGTGGTCTTCCCCCCATGAGTGGTCAGGGAAGTATAACTTGAAGTAGGGCTCTGACAAAGTTAGCAGGAGGAGTCGGTACCGATGCAGAGTAAGAACCGTTTCACTGCCTGGGAAAAAGTAGACAAAGGCAGCTACTTCAAGAGCAAGTATGAAAACGTTTCAGGCTTGGGGCAGTGGGGAAAGGAGACACACACACACAGAAAGGAAATCCGCCTGCTCGGCTGCATCTCCCCGTGACATCGGAGTAAAAAGAATGCTACGATTTCTCCCCACCCACTGCTCGTGGCTCACTTGGTGAGCTTCAAAAGGGAGGGATGGTTCTTTGCGACACGGATGCAGATCCACTGTGGTACACCCAATTATCTTCCCTTCCTTGTTCCAAATAAATATTAATGCTTTCTGCCTTCACACCACCATACTGTCCGCTTGAGCCTTCTAGGGCAGAAAAGAAGTTTCAGCACCAACTGAAGGGAGACCTTTGCCTGGAGCGGGGGTGCCTTTTACCCTCCCTGCCCACCTACCCGATGGAGTGAACAATCCAGTTAGCAGCAGCTGTTCATTTTACGCATGAGCTGACTCACTGCGGCCTGTCCTGTATGGCACTAAAAGTTTTAAAGGGGGGGGCAGGGGAGGAGACAGCTCCTGGCACTGTCAGCTTTTGAGTCCAAAACCGTGCTCTCCCCGTCTGGCACGACGAAGACTTATCAAAGAGGGTGGCAAAAGGACAGGGCAAGTTACGGGATGTATCTGGAAAGAAGACGGGTCGAAGCCGACGTGACCTTGGCTCTGGTGAGTTTTCCCGGAGTCCCGTACACACAACGGAGAGCATCTTCATTGCTGAAAGGTGGGGGGGGGGGGGGGGGGGGGGGGCTGTGGGTCGCCGGGTGCCACCGGGAGGCAGCAGGGGAAGGCTCCATCCCTCTGGTAGGGCTGCTCAGGAGCACCTTCCTCT